GAAAGAGAGAAAGAGAGAAAGAGAGATACCGGGATGTAGTCTGACATTAAGCGACCACGAAAAACGGGGACCAATTATGGTGCTACGACGACGAGTGTCTTTTAAGTTCTCTCTACGCTTAATGTATACGCATATGTGCGTGCGTGTGTGTGTGTGTGTGTATTTGTGTGTTGGTTGCCAGGCACTGATTTACTTTTATTGCCGTCCTTCGTGTAACTTTCTGTCTCTTTCTCTTTCTCTTATTATTATCTTCCTTCTCTCATTTTTATTCTGTTCTCTCTTGTACATAATCTTGAGCGCGAGAGCATCGAAATTATTCCAACGAATGACCTTCGGGAAGCCTCACGAATATGGTGTGCGGCCTTTTTACAAACTCTATCTTTTCGTTAGATCTTGAAAAAAAAAAAAAAAAAAATAAGAAAACAAAACTATTGGATAATGTATTAATGAAAAATCGTTTAAAAAATATTCGTATTATATTATATCGCAGTTTTTGTGCAATTTGATATATTCCATCGATGCGGGGTTGGAAAATAAAAAGGGGTGAAATAAGTTGGAAAGAGTAACCGTATCGGTAAAGCAAAATGATGGGGGTAGATTTAACGGTTAGGAAAAGAAAAGTATCCTAGTCTAGTATGAGGACTTATTATATTGAAAGTTACAAGGGATGGGAGGGCTAATGCTAAGGGGTGAAAGATTGCATTGCGTTGCGTTGCGTGCATTTTGAGAAAAGTGGGCACACGTGTGTGCACGCGTGCAACACTCAGCATACACAGAGACAGGTTAATACCGTGACCGTCGTGGTCACTCTACCCTAACACGATCTTTATCGTTCAAACCTTTTCTCTCGTTCTTTTTTTTCTCTCTCTCTCTCTCTCTCTCTCGCTCTGTGATTTCATCTAATTTTGTAATACAATTTTTTTCGTTTCATTTGAAATTATTCTTTACAAATAATATCGTTGAAATAATTAATTATTAATGTATACACGAGGTTTTTCATTATTCATTTTTTCAATACATTTTATCTTTGAATATACTTTAAATAATCATTTAAATCTGGCAATAAAAATTCTCGAGTACGCAGCCAAGCAAATGTTCAATAAAAATGATAGATCACACATTCATAATCGTATCACCCTATCAATCATCCGAAAATGTCTACTCTCTCGTATGATCAATTATTATCAAAATATTAAATGATCCATCATCAGTCTGCTCAACAATCAGATAACATCCTCTTGTCAATTTATGCTCATATTATTATACATAAAACTTTAATCAAATCGATAATCAAGACTAATCTCTTTTTAATTATTTCATACTCTTATTCACAAATCTTTTGTTATATTTTTAATTTCCTGTAACATTTTTTCATTGAAAATATTTAATTTTTAAATATTTTATAAATATCGATCAAATAAAAAAATATATACCAATCATTATTTTATTTTGATAATATTAATCTAATGAAATTAATTAACCAATGTGGTTAAAATACTTTTATTCTGTTTTTTTTTTTTATTGGCACGAATGGGATTTGATTTAAAAAATCTTTTAATACAAATTTGTATTATTTAATTAATCATAGTCATTCTCGTTAAACCATTTAACAAATATGAGAACGTATATGTATCAATATCATCGTATCCATGAGGGGGATTATTTCATAGGAACAAATTTCTCCCCCACCGTGTGTCGTGTTCTCTCTCTTTCTCTCTCTCTCTCTTTTGCTAACTTATTTCCGGTGTGGAAGGAAAGCAAACGAGTGAAGCAGAGACCGGAACATAACACGGACGCGTTGTGTTCCTTTCCCGGGAACATTTCGCTGACGTCACGATGCGTATCAGCCGAAAAATAAAATGAAATAAAATAAAATAAAATAAAATAAAAAGAGAAGAAAAAAAGAAAAAGAATATATAAAAAGGCAAACAAAAATAAGACACAGAGGGTGGGAGGAGTGGGAGGGAAAACGATTCGCAGGGGTTCCCTCTCTTGTTCCTCTTCACCAGGATGTAGTTAATGTCCGAGCAGCAAGTTTTTTTTGAAGATTATTAGCTCTGCCTCACAACGATCATTTTCCAGACTTACGAACAACCTAATTGAAAAAGGAAATTCTCGTATATAAATTGATTACTTTTATTATTATTCGTTTGTTATATATATTCCAATGAATATTATATTATTTTTGTTTTTGGTTTTATAATTTAATTTGTTAACAAACAATTGATTCGTTTGTTGATTTTATCAAAGAAACGAATATTAAATATTATTCAGAAATTATTGAAAAATTAATTAAAAAAAAAAAAAAAAAAA